AAACAAAATTTTTTTTTTTTTTTTTTTTTTTTTTTTGTGTTTTGAACTTTTTGTTGCAACGAACAGATCAAAAGTTGGATCAAACCTCAGCTTTTATATGACAATCTGGTATACCAGCTCTAACCACCTTCTTTAATTCAAATCATGAAAATCTGTGAAAATAAACAAAAACAGCAATTGCTGACATCAGTTTTAGCTACTGAAAATTTTGTCCACCATGACAGTAGAGACAACCTCAAAAGAATCGCAAAAAAACTGCTTCAAGAGCCACTTGCAATATATCAAAAGACAAGCAAAGAAGAATGATTGAAGAATAAAGGTTTTTTTTTTTTTTTTTTTTCACAGAATGGGGTATGTATATAGAGAACAGAGTTGATGAGAGGGTTTGTCATAACTCATATATTCCTTATGCAGCCATGGAGGACCAATCTTGATTCCTTGTGTTATGTTGGTTGGACTTGGATGGTAAACAAAACTTATATAGAAAAAAGGAAGAGCAAATGGTCTAGCTTGTACTACTAGTTGTACTAAAAAAGCATGTAAAATAGACTGTCTCGCAATACTGGTAATTATCTACCGTTCATGTGCTACTTCTAATTAATAATATACTCTTTTTCTCCAAATATTAATTTTTTTGGGGAACATTCAAAAAAAAAATTTATCACACAATTATTACATTTCAAAAATATTAATGTTAATGAATTTAAAAGAAGGATAAAATAGAAAATTTATATTATTTTAGTAATTGATTTTTGAAAATAGACTAATATTTCGATACAATAAAAAATAGAATAAGGGACTAATATTTTGAGACAGAGGGAATAATGAAAAACTTTACAAATGAGACATTGCTGACCCGTTTTTGTTAGATAATTAAAAGATGAGGAATGACTCACCTAATGTATTTTGTGATTCTTTATTTATTGAAAGTACCACGTAAATAATATCATATAACCCTAAAATTAATATTTTGCTCGGAATACGAGGCTTTAGCCACTAAAGAGTCTAGACCAGGTTAGATGTACGTAATCTTACCCTCATGTATGAACTAGTTGTTTTTGTAATTTAAACCTATAATACTTAGTTATAATAGAGCAACCTTACTGTTATGCCTAAATACAAGGGGAAGAAAGTGAAAAAGACGAAACTTCATTTTGTAAAAATTGAAAATATTTAAAACAATCCTGTTGTTCATGTTAAAAAAGTTATGTAAAAAGTGTATTAAAATGTATACAAATATTTTGAAATTTGTGAAAAACATATTGGAATGATGGATTTTTTAACCTATTGTTGTGCTTATTGGCAACCTTTAAGACTGTTATTAGTATAACTCAAATAATAATGAGTAATGTTAGGAATCATAAAAAAAAATGTCATGAAAAGGATCATGAAAGATTCTCCACCTTTGAATTACACATATAATAAAACACCACGCACTAATCAAAGGATGAAAAATCTTCATGATACATTTCATGATATTTTTTTCATCATCCCTAACATTACTCAATAATAATACTATGACACTTATGTATTTTATTTAACATATAATATGTCACTAATGAATTGGAAATAATCGAATTGGTTAAATCAATACAATAATATATAACTATTAATACATGAAAAAACAATTATTATAAAATTATTTTTTGATAAAATATACTAGTTTCAATATTATAATGGGGGTTTGGAAAAAGATAAGGTCTTTTGGTCAGTTTGGCGGGGCTGTAAGAGTATATTTCTGCAGATGGGGAGCATGAGATGAGATTGCAGAGAAGCATTTTGGATCTTAAATTAATAAAATAAACAATTGTTTTCTCATTTGATTTTGATTTTTTGATTTTTATATACATATAATTTAATACTTCAACATATTTGTAAAATTTTTGTATAGTTTAATTGAGTGGGGAAAGCTCTGACCTCCTTTTGGTTGCTCATGCTTGCTATTAATTCCATGCGCTCTGTAAAGTTTCAGAAATATGCAGTGATAGTGAGCATCTTTAGCAGAAACCACTCTTTTTCCTCCCCAAAAAAAATTAATTTTTTTTTTAAAAAATCCATTAATCATAGTCATGGTTGATTTAGCTTTCCATTTTCTATTATAGTACATTTATTATTGGTAGGAATTTGGAAATGAAAATAAAAAAAATTATAGGTAAAATATTAATAAAATATAGTTAATATTTATTTACATTTCACTTACAATTTCTTTTTTTCTGTTAAAATTCTTACTAAAATTCATAATTCAAATACAATCTAAGAATAATGACAATTTTCATGATTTTCTATGATTGTCACACTAAAGTGAAAAAGTTAGCAGTAAATTTAATTACAATAATGCTATATATAATGGATCCTTCATCAATTTTTTTTTTCCCCACTAAACAAAAAGGTTATAGGGTTCACATTATTAAATACGGCTGTGATTCAGACCCCTAGCTGGGGCACCCCCAGTGACCCCAGCGCCACATGGCGCTCTGCCAGTGGCTGAAACTAAAGAAAAAAAAAAAAAAAAAACTGTTTTTTTTGGCCAATCAGGAGTGACCCCCAATACCCCACTGGGGGTCTTAAGCTTTATTCTATTAAATATACGTGAGATCCATGATTTTGTATCTAATATAGTAAAATATTAAATAAAACAAATCATTTATGTATGATATTTTCCTCTTAAAAATCTCAACCATCTATGAATTCTTTTAATCATTGTTGAAGGAGAATTGGGTGTTCGACATCCAATTAAAAAAATTACATTTAATTTTTTTTGTTTTTTGTCTTTAGCATCTTTTTTTTTTTAAAATTATGTCAAGATTTTTGTACACAAATCTAAAAAGTTTTTAAAAAAAAATCATAAAAGATAAAAAAAAAATTAAAATTTATTTTCAACTTTTTTTTGTCCTTTATGGACTTTTATTTTTCAATTTTTTTAATTTTAACTTTTTCTTTCTGTGTGATGGAGTAAAACTTGAAAGTGTAAAGTTTTTTAATTTTTTTTTAAAAAAATCATTAAAAATGATTTTAAAAAAAAGAAAAAAAGAAAAAAAACAACTCAAAACACCTACAGAATCAATGAATACTTGTGCTTTGATAACATATAGTTTTTTCAAGTTTTGATATCAATTTAAAAGAGTGTTTGGACTTAGTAGGCTTATTTTAGAACTAATTTTGGTGATTCGAATCATTTATTTTTTTTGACTCATTGAGTAGAATATCCTTACAAAAAATCAAAATGATTGGATATCGGTAGCTATATGTTCGAATCATATTTGTTTTTAAAAAATAGACGATAAATATAATTTTAATAATAATCATCCATTTTTTATAATACAAATTTAATTTAAACATACAATTACTGATATCTAATCATTTTAATTTTTTATTGATGTAGGACAAGATTTTAAGACTTTGTATTTTTAGTTTTGATATTTTTGATAAATTATTTTATTAGGAATCTTGTAATTTAGTATAAATAATTTAGAATTATTAGGTTTCTTAATTTTATTATTTTAGAGTTAGATTTTGACTAAGATTTTAAATAGTTAAGAATTCTAGTTTCATATTCTCTTAGGTCTCCTAATTTATGTTGATTTAAGTTTCCTAATTTATTTTAAAATTACTTTTCCTACAAGTATTAGATTTAGTTTATTATAAATAGCTATGTAAGCCTCATGGCAAAGACAACTTTTATACAACTTTTATTCATTCATTCAATAATATTTCTCTTCCTTGTGGATTCAAGGTTCTATTTTTCTCGTGGATTCGAGAGCCCCTTTCGTCTACTAGAACGATATCTAGTCCCCGTGTATTCCGTTGCGTCAAGTGGTATCAGAGCATGGATTCACCTAGCTCAATTACACAAGACAATGGAGCACACACAATCCCTATTGACGTTGATCGTAGGGTGGAAGCCATATGGGATGCGATTGAGGAACATCGATTAGAGGTGCACGAACTTCGCAATGAGATTTGTAATCTACTTGCCGATTTGGGACTAATCGTCAACCAGAGGCAACCAACAGCTGACAGTAATTGCGCCGGAGGATTCACCCGAGGCCAACCTATTAGCTTACGTTATTTTGCAGAAATTTCATATTTTAACGGTTCAAGTAAGTTTCAAAAAGAAGATTTTCTTGATTGGTTGCTTGATCTTGAAAATTTCTTTGAAATCATGAAGATTCCTCATGAAAAGAAGGTTATATTTGCATCCTACAAACTTGATAAAATTGCATTGAAGTGGTGGAATGGATTACAAGATTATCGAGTTTGCAAAGATAAAGACAAATTTCATTCGTGGTTAACAATGAAAAAGTTTTTGGCAACAAAATTTTACTTTCATGATCATGAAGATATATTGTCAGATACAAATCAAGATACTTCTATGGAGTTGGTAAAACATTGCGATGAAATTGTAGTTGAGAAAGAAAAAAAATTTGCATCAAAATATTATTTGTGGTGATATTGGTTGTAAAACTAATAAAGAAGATACAAAGTCTTGTTCGAGTGTTGATAATGCATCAACACAAGGTAATTTGAATATTGAGGAGAAAGTTTTACAAACAAATCATAAAAATATTGAAGAAGAAAGAGATCTGATTGAGCTAGTAACAAAGAGAAAACAGAAGAAGAGATAATACAACCGCTGTGTGCAAAAAAGAAATTGGTTGATGCTACACTTGATATTCCAAGGTTGATAGTTGAAGGATCAATTGAATCTCAGATGGTGCAACATCAAGAGAGCATGCAAGTTCTACACAAAGTAAATTTTGTTGATTTTCTTGGTGTAGAGCAATTTAATTTGATTTTCAATGCTTGTCTAATTAATTTTGTCAACCAGTTGAAGCATATAGAGAAGAACCTTCAGAAAGAAAATTTTCCTATATACAACTTTTGGAAGAGGGGCAAGCAACTGAAAAATTCAAAATATCTGTTTATTTGGCATGGAAGATGGCAGATCTCCAATATGAACTCGAGGGCGAGTTCTTTCAAAGAAGAGGAGACTGGTGTAGGACAAGATTTTAAGACTTTTTATATTTTTAGTTTTGATATTTTTGATAAATTATTTTATTAGGAATCTTGTAATTTAGTATAAATAATTTAGAATTATTAGGTTTCTTAATTTTATTATTTTATAATTAGATTTTGACTAGGATTTTAAATAGTTAAGAATTGTAGTTTCCTATTCTCTTAGGTCTCCTAATTTATGTTGATTTAAGTTTCCTAATTTATTTTAGAATTACTTTTCCTACAAGTATTAGATTTAGTTTATTATAAATAGTTATGTAAGCCTCGTGGCAAAGACAACTTTTATACAACTTTTATTCATTCATTCAATAATATTTCTCTTCCTTGTGGATTCAAGGTTCTATTTTTCTCGTGGATTCGAAAGCCCCTTTCGTCTACTAGAATGATATCTAGTCCCCGTGTATTCCGCTGCGTCATTTATATAAATATTCTACTTAATAAAATTTTAAAAATAAATAATTTAAATTATCAAAGTGAGATTTTTTTGGGCTCCATCGCTCTATCAACTTTTCCCAGGTTAAGAAGTCCAACCCATAAGGTATATGTAGTCCAATAATCAATAAAGTTCTAAAAGACTGCAGTATTAGTTTAGTAAATAACATACAAGGTTAGGGCCAAATAATCTTAAATTAATTAAACTTACATATGCACTTAAATATTTTTAAGCTTTGACATAGGGAAAAATATTATGTATCTAAAAAAAACTATTCGAATTTTTTATATAAATTTGAATTTAGTATACGAATAGATATTGAAAATATAAATAATAAAGTTAACTCTATCTCTAATAACTTCTTTTAAATTTAACTAATTAGATGAATCGGTGGTTATAATTCAATAGAACAAAAATTAATGTGTGCACAAAAAATTCACCCAAATGTCCCTAAAAATGTACTAATTGACTAAAATACCTCTTGGAGGGTCCATCATTGAAAATATATATCTTGTATTAAGTCATGAAGTGGACCATACGAGATTTTAACGTTCAAATGGTGTTCTAGGTGAATAGGTTCAACAGAGTACTTCCTTCTAAGAAGTCGGCAACCAACATATTTATTTATTACAATTAAGAGAAGGAAATTGTGAAAATATTTGAATAATTTACGTACGGTCGTGTTATTAATGCTTAATTTGCATCTTTTTCATGTCATTATAGTGTATTTTCAACTATATACAGTAATTTTTTTATATAAATAAATAAGAGTGAAGACACTCATATGTAAATCAAGTTTGGCATCCTAATATAATCCATCTTTTTATCTTTTTACATTTTTTTATCACATCACTTCTCTATTTTTCTGTATATCTTTTCTTAAAAAGACAAAAAGTATATTTATTTAAATCATCCCAAACAACCCCTAAGCACGTTCAATATAATTTACAATTTTTACATCAGTGAAAACAAAACAAAAAATCTTCAATTAATATGCAACTTAGGGCTGTTCAAAAATCCGTTCAAACTAGTAATCCGGACTGAGTCAAACCGAATCGTACGGTTTGGTTCGGTTCTATTAAGAATTGGTTCGGTTTCGGGTTAAGAAATATGAGAACCGTAAAAACGGTTCGGTTAATGGATTTTATGAAAAAATCGCGATTCGAACCAAACCGAACCGAATTTTAAAAAAAATGTATATATATATAATATCAAGTTTTATTTTTATTAATTGGTTTTTTATAATTTTAATGATATTAGGATGGTATATATATGTAATATTAAGTAATGCCTTTATATTATTACGTTTGGGAAGTGGGTTGGCTTTTTGGCTATTTGACTTTTTTGGCTATTTGAGTCTGGACTCAAAAACTTGGTTTGGGAAGGGCTTTTTAACTTTTTGGCTTTTTGACTTTTTTTGTGAGAGAAGAGTGTAATGATTATGGGTTGGATGTGATATTTTGTCTGTTGTGACTCAAATAGCTTATTCTGTCTTTTGTGGCTCAAAGAGCCAAAAAGCCCAAATAAGCTCTTCCCAAACGACACATATATATAATATCAAGTTTTATTTTTATTAATTGGTTTTTTATAATTTTAATGATATTAGGATGGTATAGATATGTAATATTAAGTAATACCTTTATATTATTAGTTTTTATCATGAGTTAAATCTAATTAGTTTGAGTAATTATTTTGCTAATATTAACAATTTATTCTTATAAATAGAAATTTTTGGAATCGTAAACCAAACCGAAACCGATCCGTTTTTTCAGTTTGGTTCTTGTCCGGTTTTATAAGTGTAACAATCTAGTCTGGTTCTCAAAATCACAGAATCGTTAGGATCGGTTCGGTTCGGTTCTTGGATTTTCTCAGAACTGAACCAATCCGGACCGTGTACACCCCTAGCAAGAAGTGTACATCTATATATATATATATACAATAATATTTGGAAGCTCTAATGATATGGTGAGTGCCAATATGATTTGACGGCCCACACTCCCCTCTCTATTTCTTTGTATTCTCTTTTTCTTTCACCTTATTAAATCTCCCATTAAAATTATTATTTTAAAATTATATATTACTACCTATATATATATATATTAGGATTGACAATATAAACAGAGAACAAGTAGTAGTGAAAGGTTTGGAATTTAATAGATGGTGTCAGGCAAGCAAACAAATCAAAAGAGAAGAGATAGCCAAGCAAGTTGCTCCTCGGACTTCGTGTTTTGACTTCCAAAGTCTGATATGTTTGGTTTGTATTTTGAAACATATTTTTTAAAAAAAAATTTAAAAATATGTTTGGTTAAAAAAAATAATTTTGGTTGGTAGCTCGAAAATCTGATAGCTTGAATGGCTCGACACCAAAACGACGTCGTTTTGGTGTCTTTTTTTTTTGTATTTTTCTGAACTAAAGAAGAAGAAGAAAGCTGAAGAAGAAGAAGAAGAGAAGAAGAAGGAGCTGAGTTTCGGCATCAACACAAAGAGATGATGTTTAATCTGGGTTTCGGCATCAAAAAAAAACTTGGTGATGATGTTGAAGAAAGCTAAAATTAAAGATCCAGAACAACTAAAATTGGTGATGGTGATGATGATGTAAGGCATTGACTCAAATGTGTATAGCTAATTACAGATCCAGAACAACTACAAAAAATTAAAAATATATATATAGAGAAAACAGATGAAATCAACATCTTTATCAACATCATCACCATCATCATCATGATCAACAAATTTTTTCCAGAACAACTTAAAAAATATATATATATATATATAGAGAAAATGAAATCAACATCTTCATCAACATCATCATCATCTCCAGATCAACATCATCATCTTCTTCAGATCATCATCTTCAGATCCAGATCCAGATCCAGATCAACCAAAAAAAACAAAGAAGTAGAGTCTGAAAGAGGCGACGGTGATATCCACCGGCGCCGCCACCGCCACCGCCACCGGCAGAGAGAGAGAGATGCTGCCTTCTCTTCCTCCTCTCTTCCTTCTCTTCCTCCTCTCTTCTCTTCTCTTCTCTCTCTCGCCTATGTTCTCTTCTGTATGTGAAATCAAAAGCAAGAAAGAAAAAAAAAAAAAACCTAATACGCCTAATACCCAAAACTTAAGGAAATCTACTTTTGATTCTTATATAGAGAAAACAGATGAAATCAACATCTTTATCACCATCATCATCATCATCATCAACAAATTTTTTCCAGAACAACTAATATATATATATATATAGAAAATGAAATCAACATTTTCATCAACATCATCATCATCTCCAGATCAACGTCATCATCTTCTTCAGATCATCATCTTCAGATTCAGATCCAGATCAACCAAAAAAAAAAAAAGAAAAAAAAAAAGAAGTAGAGTCTGAAAGAGGCGACGGTGATACCCACCGGCAGAGAGAGAGAGAGACACCGCCTTCTCTTTCTCTTCTCTTCTCTCTCTCGCCTATGTTCTCTTCTGTATGTGAAATCAAAAGCAAGAAAGAAATAAAAGAAAAAAAACCTAGTACCCAAAACGACGCCATTTTGGGTATTAGGGCCAGTTTCGAGCCAACAATTTCGAGTAACCACGTATTATTCTAAAAAAAAATTCAAAAAAATTTCAAAGTTATTTCTCTCTCTATTACACATCAATCAATCATTTTTTCTCTCTCCTCTCTCATTCTCAATCACTTTTTTTTATCACACATCTACTCAATTACAACAAAATATTAAATCTTTCCAAACTCCCAAACTATTTTCAAAATATATAACTAAACAAACTAAAAAAAAATTTTAAACTTTCTCCTCAAATTTTTTTTAAAAAAATTTAACTCAAAACCCAAACCAAACATCGCCATGATTTTTTTATTTTTTATTTTATTTGAAGTAATAAATCTAGATGTCATGTCATAGTTGTTATTCAACCTAAATGTTAGATGGGAAATTCTAAGATACTCATAATTTTAGGCTTACAGATTTGAGTGGTGATTCATCCCACTAATTTTTGGACCACTAATAGCTCTAATGAGCTTAAAATTAAAAAAAAAAAAAAAAAAAACAAACAAACAAACAAACAAACAAAACAAAACAAAACAAACTCAAGCCAAAACATTACATCACTTTGGTGGGGGCCACTGTGCCACATCATTAGTGATGCTCTAGAGCTCCCAATTTAGTGCTCTAAACATTATTCTACAGATTTATCGCTAATAATGTGATAGGAAGTTGAGATAAGTTATGGCTTCGTTTGGGAAGTCAAGTTCGGGGTTTTTTTAATTATTTTAGTCATAAAAAATAAAATAAGTTTTTTAATTTAATAAGATAAAATATCACATTCAATTCATAATCATTACATTCTTTCTCTCACAAAAAAATCAAAAGTCCTTCCCAAACGAGGCTTTTTAATCCCAGGCTAAAATAGCTAAAAAATTCAAAAAACCAACCCACTTCCCAAACGAACCCTATACATGATTGAACAAATGTTGACACCTGTCCTATTATATTATTTACTAAGAATTTTAGCTTTTAAATTTTTTTTCTTGCTATTTTAAAATACTTACAATTATTAAATTATTAAGAGAAAAAAAACCCAAAATAGTATAATATTAAGATATGATCCAATAAAAAAAATATAAACAGAAGATTCCTTAATTCTATGGGCCAAAAATTATTGAGTGTCACCTCTAATATTGTCACAAACACGTAGGGTCTGTTTAGTAACGTTAACGTTTTCAATTTATATTTATAAGAATTTTATAAATTGATTTTTGTTTATTTTTAAAAAAACATAAATTACAACGCGTTTGGTTTAGACAAAACGTTTAAAAAATTTTAAAAATATAAAAAAGAGTAAGAAATGGCAAGTGGTGGTGGGTGGTGATGAGTGGTGGCAGCGGAAGACGGTGGTAGAAAATGATAGCGGGTGGTGGTGGTGGAAGGCGATGGTGGAAAATCGTGGCAGGTGGTGGGTGATGGTAGCAGAAGACGGTGATGGAAAGTGATGGCAAGTGGCGGGTGAGTGGGTGGTGGTGGCGGAAGACGGTGGTGGAAAGTTGTGGCAAGTAGAGGTGGTAGCAGCGAAAGACGGTGGTGGAAAGCGGTGACAGGTGGGTGGATGGTGGTAGCAGGTGGGTGGTGGATGGCAGGTGGTGATGGGTGGCGGCAAGTGGGTGACGGTGATGGGTGGTGGCGAGTGGGTGGTGGATGCTGGTGGGTAGTGGGTGGTGGTGGTGGTGGTGGCAGGTGGGTGGTAGATGGTGATGGGTGGTGGGTGGTGGCGGATAGGTGGTGGTGGCGGGTAGGTGGCAGGTGGTGGTAGTGGGTGGGTGGGTGACGATGGCGGGTGGTATATTTAGATTATCCCAAATAACCCCAAATGTAAAAAAGAATGATACTTTTGTAATTATTTGATTGTAATGGTTGTTTTGTTTTAAATATAGAATAAAAATTGTATTATATATATGTATATATATTTATATAACTTTCGTCATTTTTGGTTACAAAAGCTTCGTTTGGAAAGTAGGTTGATTTTTTAACTTTTTTATTTTTTTAGCTATTTTAGTCCGGGGCTAAAAAGCCTAGTTTGAGAAGAACTTTTGATTTTTTTGACTTTTTTGTGAGAAAAAAAATGTAATGATTATGAGTTGAATATGATGTTTTATCTTATTGGGCTAAAAAACCTATTTTGTTTTTTTTAGCTATTTTAGCAAAAAAAACCCAAAAACCAACTTCTCAAACAGAGCTAAAATGTTATGTTAAACGGCACAGCAATGACTTTTGATTTTCTATAGAACTCACACGGATCCCATATCAGTTCACAAGAATCAAGAGTCGGAATGTATTTGTGACATTTGGGATTGTTTGTTTGAGTTTTTTTGAGTTAACTTATAATTTTTAGTTTTAGAAAAATTATTTTGAATTATTTGGTTAAACTTATTTCAAATAGTTTCTGATTCAAACAATTTATTTTAACTCAAAAAAGTTAATTCTGAGAAGCTACTCACTCCTTACTTCTGCTTATCAATTTTTGCTGTGAACATGTTAATTTACGATTATATCCTTAGATTTTTTTATTTTTTATTTTTTTTAAAATAGAAAAAGACCCAAATAGACTATAAATTATTATTATTATTTTTTATGAAAAATGTAGATAAATAGTGAATAACAAAAAATAAAAATTAATTGAAAAAATTACTTCACAGTTTATTTAACAAATACTACTCAGCAACTTAAATTTATAATCCAACAGTTACACCAAACAAATTAATAATTTCTAATTAAAATCATAATTTATAACATATAATCTATAATCTATTTTAATAACTACATCAAACGGTACGATTATCACATCAGTGCGATCACTACACCGCACTAAATAATAGCTCGAGAGAGACAGAGAAAGAGCGAGAGAGACAGAGAGCGTATCTGGTTTTCTGAGAAGTAGCCACATGCCTCATTACAGCTGATGAGTAATGGGTTGCCATAGCATTTCCTTCTTTTTTGTCACTCTTTTAACACCATCTCTCATTGTCAACGCTCAAGTTTTCTTCACCTTCTCTGCACAAAAATGTACATATATATATATATAAAAAGCTTCAGATTTCTTAAAACTCTGAGAGAGAGAGAGAGAGAGAGAGAGAGAGAGAGAGAGAGAGTTGCATTGAGTTTTAGGTGTTTGCATTCATTGAGAGAAAAATGTACAAAAATTAAGGGCATGTCATCAGACTAGAAATGGCATTTGGAACTCTTTCTACAGTTCAATGCGGTCAACTTTCCTGATTAAGGTATTTTTTAACTTGATTACATAATTAGATGTATTTTAAACTTTATTCCCGAACTAAAAGAATGTGTTAAGTGAACACGTTTTTTAGTGAAACAGCTTATAAACTTGTTTATCAATTCCAGCTAAACAACTTAAAAGCATATTTATCAAAAGGCGCTCCTTCCCAAGTTTGGGAATAAAGTTTAAAATACACCTGGTTATGTAATTAAGTTTTTAAAAAAATCATAATTAGGGAAATGAGCCAGTTCGAGATATATCTCGTCTTCATATTTGAAAATCACCATCTCTGAGAAATTCAGTACCCTGGAAACAAAAATTGAAATATCCCTCAACGAAATTAAGGCAATGAAGCAGCTAAATGGAATACATGACTTAATACACAAATCAAAATAATTGAAAGACGTCGCCTGCAGGGGAGTGAAATGAGAGGGAATTTACACCTCATAAAGGAAATATCACTGAAGCTCTAGGAGGCAAACACACTCGATGTGAGGAGTGTGAGGGAACATGTCTACTGGCTGTAGGCTTCTTAGTTTGTAACATCCCTCTATATTTTGCTCTGCCTGTAAAGTTTTTGATATCTCGGAATTACAGAGATTTAACCCACAGCTGAAAAAGACAAGCAACATAGAACTTACCACACCGTGACAGAGGTAATCGAGGTCCCGTGCACATGTTGCAGGATTACAGGACACATAAATAATCCGTGGGGCTCGAAGCTTTAGTAAATATTTAATTAACTTCATATGCATTCCTGGACGGTTTGGATCTGCAGGATGCATCCATCATGTCAGAAAATATCTGGAAAACCTAGTGCTTGTTTTCAAATACTTAAGTGAAGATCAGATAAGGAACAGCAGATTTCTCAGTTCAAACCTTAAATATACAGTCATGTAATTTATGTGGGGTTAGACTCAGAACATCCAACCACGAGACCCATATGCTTTTTTTGAAGGACAAACATGTAATTATCTTAGATATTGATCATTGCTATGTTGAATGCAAGATGATGTACACAATTTTAACATTCTACAGAAAGGAGAAGAAAATAGAAAACTGAGGCACCCAACAAGGACATAACCTGATATGATGATGTCGGGCTTTGGAAAATTTTTCCCAAAATTCAAATCAATTTTATTGAGGTCTCCTTGTACAAATGTGGCATTATTGATGTTGTTCATCTTGGCATTACGACAAGCATCTGAGATAGCCTGAGGAACTACTTCATAGCCATAAACATGTCTGGCCCTGACAAAAGCAAACCAATGGAAGCAGATCCAAACAGGACCATCATGTAAGATTTGTAAAATCACACATTTCAAATTATAAGAAAAACATGAGAATTACTTTCTGGCTAGTGTCAAGCCAATGGTGCCCGTTCCACAAAAAAGGTCAAGGACAATTTCTGAGCCGTCTCCTTTGAGATCCGCATAATCTTCAATGAGTCCATAAAGAACCTCCGCCTGAAAGTTGTAAAATGGAATAATGAAACTCAAGCAAGCAATCACTTTCCTGGGGGGAAAAAACATAGACTAACAGGAAATCCAAATCCTGGGATGTTGCATACCTGGTGTGAATTTGTCTGAAAGAAAGAATTGGCTGAAATTTGAAAAACAAGCCCTCTTAGGATCTCTGTGATGGTAGATTTACCATATAACGTGAACTCATCCTCACCAACAGATGTGTTACCGACAGAAGTATTTACGTTGTTCACAATGCTGACCTGTTGGTCGGCAGACATAAGAAACGAAAAATGATATTCCAAAATGAAGGTTTCACTAGTGACACTGACATCAACTGGAAAATGTGCACAGAAATGTCATACAGACCACTTCAGGTATGGCTGAAATTTTCTCAACAAGGGGATTCAGGAGCTCTGGTTTGTGGGACGAAGTCACAAAATTAACCATAAGTTGAAGAAGACCAGTATTGACATCCCTGAAAAATGAATAGTAATTGTGTTAGCTTCTGGTGATATTTGTGATCTGACTTTTTTAAAATTTTAAGTGAAATAATCCCTATAAGAAATATAAAGATTTGGGAACCAAATGAGCAGGAGAGTTACCTAAAGGATTAAAAAGCTTTGCATTGAGTTTTAGGTGTTTGCATTCATTGAGAGAAAAATGTACAAAAATTAAGGGCATGTCATCAGACTAGAAATGGCATTTGGAACTCTTTCTACAGTTCAATGCGGTCAACTTTCCTGATTAAGGTATTTTTTAACTTGATTACATAATTAGATGTATTTTAAACTTTATTCCCGAACTAAAAGAATGTGTTAAGTGAACACGTTTTTTAGTGAAACAGCTTATAAACTTGTTTATCAATTCCAGCTAAACAACTTAAAAGCATATTTATCAAAAGGCGCTCCTTCCCAAGTTTGGGAATAAAGTTTAAAATACACCTGGTTATGTAATTAAGTTTTTAAAAAAATCATAATTAGGGAAATGAGCCAGTTCGAGATATATCTCGTCTTCATATTTGAAAATCACCATCTCTGAGAAATTCAGTACCCTGGAAACAAAAATTGAAATATCCCTCAACGAAATTAAGGCAATGAAGCAGCTAAATGGAATACATGACTTAATACACAAATCAAAATAATTGAAAGACGTCGCCTGCAGGGGAGTGAAATGAGAGGGAATTTACACCTCATAAAGGAAATATCACTGAAGCTCTAGGAGGCAAACACACTCGATGTGAGGAGTGTGAGGGAACATGTCTACTGGCTGTAGGCTTCTTAGTTTGTAACATCCCTCTATATTTTGCTCTGCCTGTAAAGTTTTTGATATCTCGGAATTACAGAGATTTAACCCACAGCTGAAAAAGACAAGCAACATAGAACTTACCACACCGTGACAGAGGTAATCGAGGTCCCGTGCACATGTTGCAGGATTACAGGACACATAAATAATCCGTGGGGCTCGAAGCTTTAGTAAATATTTAATTAACTTCATATGCATTCCTGGACGGTTTGGATCTGCAGGATGCATCCATCATGTCAGAAAATATCTGGAAAACCTAGTGCTTGTTTTCAAATACTTAAGTGAAGATCAGATAAGGAACAGCAGATTTCTCAGTTCAAACCTTAAATATACAGTCATGTAATTTATGTGGGGTTAGACTCAGAACATCCAACCACGAGACCCATATGCTTTTTTTGAAGGACAAACATGTAATTATCTTAGATATTGATCATTGCTATGTTGAATGCAAGATGATGTACACAATTTTAACATTCTACAGAAAGGAGAAGAAAATAGAAAACTGAGGCACCCAACAAGGACATAACCTGATATGATGATGTCGGGCTTTGGAAAATTTTTCCCAAAATTCAAATCAATTTTATTGAGGTCTCCTTGTACAAATGTGGCATTATTGATGTTGTTCATCTTGGCATTACGACAAGCATCTGAGATAGCCTGAGGAACTACTTCATAGCCATAAACATGTCTGGCCCTGACAAAAGCAAACCAATGGAAGCAGATCCAAACAGGACCATCATGTAAGATTTGTAAAATCACACATTTCAAATTATAAGAAAAACATGAGAATTACTTTCTGGCTAGTGTCAAGCCAATGGTGCCCGTTCCACAAAAAAGGTCAAGGACAATTTCTGAGCCGTCTCCTTTGAGATCCGCATAATCTTCAATGAGTCCATAAAGAACCTCCGCCTGAAAGTTGTAAAATGGAATAATGAAACTCAAGCAAGCAATCACTTTCCTGGGGGGAAAAAACATAGACTAACAGGAAATCCAAATCCTGGGATGTTGCATACCTGGTGTGAATTTGTCTGAAAGAAAGAATTGGCTGAAATTTGAAAAACAAGCCCTCTTAGGATCTCTGTGATGGTAGATTTACCATATAACGTGAACTCATCCTCACCAACAGATGTGTTACCGACAGAAGTATTTACGTTGTTCACAATGCTGACCTGTTGGTCGGCAGACATAAGAAACGAAAAATGATATTCCAAAATGAAGGTTTCACTAGTGACACTGACATCAACTGGAAAATGTGCACAGAAATGTCATACAGACCACTTCAGGTATGGCTGAAATTTTCTCAACAAGGGGATTCAGGAGCTCTGGTTTGTGGGACGAAGTCACAAAATTAACCATAAGTTGAAGAAGACCAGTATTGACATCCCTGAAAAATGAATAGTAATTGTGTTAGCTTCTGGTGATATTTGTGATCTGACTTTTTTAAAATTTTAAGTGAAATAATCCCTATAAGAAATATAAAGATTTGGGAACCAAATGAGCAGGAGAGTTACCTAAAGGATTAAAAAGCTTTGCATTGAGTTTTAGGTGTTTGCATTCATTGAGAGAAAAATGTACAAAAATTAAGGGCATGTCATCAGACTAGAAATGGCATTTGGAACTCTTTCTACAGTTCAATGCGGTCAACTTTCCTGATTAAGGTATTTTTTAACTTGATTACATAATTAGATGTATTTTAAACTTTATTCCCGAACTAAAAGAATGTGTTAAGTGAACACGTTTTTTAGTGAAACAGCTTATAAACTTGTTTATCAATTCCAGCTAAACAACTTAAAAGCATATTTATCAAAAGGCGCTCCTTCCCAAGTTTGGGAATAAAGTTTAAAATACACCTGGTTATGTAATTAAGTTTTTAAAAAAATCATAATTAGGGAAATGAGCCAGTTCGAGATATATCTCGTCTTCATATTTGAAAATCACCATCTCTGAGAAATTCAGTACCCTGGAAACAAAAATTGAAATATCCCTCAACGAAATTAAGGCAATGAAGCAGCTAAATGGAATACATGACTTAATACACAAATCAAAATAATTGAAAGACGTCGCCTGCAGGGGAGTGAAATGAGAGGGAATTTACACCTCATAAAGGAAATATCACTGAAGCTCTAGGAGGCAAACACACTCGATGTGAGGAGTGTGAGGGAACATGTCTACTGGCTGTAGGCTTCTTAGTTTGTAACATCCCTCTATATTTTGCTCTGCCTGTAAAGTTTTTGATATCTCGGAATTACAGAGATTTAACCCACAGCTGAAAAAGACAAGCAACATAGAACTTACCACACCGTGACAGAGGTAATCGAGGTCCCGTGCACATGTTGCAGGATTACAGGACACATAAATAATCCGTGGGGCTCGAAGCTTTAGTAAATATTTAATTAACTTCATATGCATTCCTGGACGGTTTGGATCTGCAGGATGCATCCATCATGTCAGAAAATATCTGGAAAACCTAGTGCTTGTTTTCAAATACTTAAGTGAAGATCAGATAAGGAACAGCAGATTTCTCAGTTCAAACCTTAAATATACAGTCATGTAATTTATGTGGGGTTAGACTCAGAACATCCAACCACGAGACCCATATGCTTTTTTTGAAGGACAAACATGTAATTATCTTAGATATTGATCATTGCTATGTTGAATGCAAGATGATGTACACAATTTTAACATTCTACAGAAAGGAGAAGAAAATAGAAAACTGAGGCACCCAACAAGGACATAACCTGATATGATGATGTCGGGCTTTGGAAAATTTTTCCCAAAATTCAAATCAATTTTATTGAGGTCTCCTTGTACAAATGTGGCATTATTGATGTTGTTCATCTTGGCATTACGACAAGCATCTGAGATAGCCTGAGGAACTACTTCATAGCCATAAACATGTCTGGCCCTGACAAAAGCAAACCAATGGAAGCAGATCCAAACAGGACCATCATGTAAGATTTGTAAAATCACACATTTCAAATTATAAGAAAAACATGAGAATTACTTTCTGGCTAGTGTCAAGCCAATGGTGCCCGTTCCACAAAAAAGGTCAAGGACAATTTCTGAGCCGTCTCCTTTGAGATCCGCATAATCTTCAATGAGTCCATAAAGAACCTCCGCCTGAAAGTTGTAAAATGGAATAATGAAACTCAAGCAAGCAATCACTTTCCTGGGGGGAAAAAACATAGACTAACAGGAAATCCAAATCCTGGGATGTTGCATACCTGGTGTGAATTTGTCTGAAAGAAAGAATTGGCTGAAATTTGAAAAACAAGCCCTCTTAGGATCTCTGTGATGGTAGATTTACCATATAACGTGAACTCATCCTCACCAACAGATGTGTTACCGACAGAAGTATTTACGTTGTTCACAATGCTGACCTGTTGGTCGGCAGACATAAGAAACGAAAAATGATATTCCAAAATGAAGGTTTCACTAGTGACACTGACATCAACTGGAAAATGTGCACAGAAATGTCATACAGACCACTTCAGGTATGGCTGAAATTTTCTCAACAAGGGGATTCAGGAGCTCTGGTTTGTGGGACGAAGTCACAAAATTAACCATAAGTTGAAGAAGACCAGTATTGACATCCCTGAAAAATGAATAGTAATTGTGTTAGCTTCTGGTGATATTTGTGATCTGACTTTTTTAAAATTTTAAGTGAAATAATCCCTATAAGAAATATAAAGATTTGGGAACCAAATGAGCAGGAGAGTTACCTAAAGGATTAAAAAGCTTTGCATTGAGTTTTAGGTGTTTGCATTCATTGAGAGAAAAATGTACAAAAATTAAGGGCATGTCATCAGACTAGAAATGGCATTTGGAACTCTTTCTACAGTTCAATGCGGTCAACTTTCCTGATTAAGGTATTTTTTAACTTGATTACATAATTAGATGTATTTTAAACTTTATTCCCGAACTAAAAGAATGTGTTAAGTGAACACGTTTTTTAGTGAAACAGCTTATAAACTTGTTTATCAATTCCAGCTAAACAACTTAAAAGCATATTTATCAAAAGGCGCTCCTTCCCAAGTTTGGGAATAAAGTTTAAAATACACCTGGTTATGTAATTAAGTTTTTAAAAAAATCATAATTAGGGAAATGAGCCAGTTCGAGATATATCTCGTCTTCATATTTGAAAATCACCATCTCTGAGAAATTCAGTACCCTGGAAACAAAAATTGAAATATCCCTCAACGAAATTAAGGCAATGAAGCAGCTAAATGGAATACATGACTTAATACACAAATCAAAATAATTGAAAGACGTCGCCTGCAGGGGAGTGAAATGAGAGGGAATTTACACCTCATAAAGGAAATATCACTGAAGCTCTAGGAGGCAAACACACTCGATGTGAGGAGTGTGAGGGAACATGTCTACTGGCTGTAGGCTTCTTAGTTTGTAACATCCCTCTATATTTTGCTCTGCCTGTAAAGTTTTTGATATCTCGGAATTACAGAGATTTAACCCACAGCTGAAAAAGACAAGCAACATAGAACTTACCACACCGTGACAGAGGTAATCGAGGTCCCGTGCACATGTTGCAGGATTACAGGACACATAAATAATCCGTGGGGCTCGAAGCTTTAGTAAATATTTAATTAACTTCATATGCATTCCTGGACGGTTTGGATCTGCAGGATGCATCCATCATGTCAGAAAATATCTGGAAAACCTAGTGCTTGTTTTCAAATACTTAAGTGAAGATCAGATAAGGAACAGCAGATTTCTCAGTTCAAACCTTAAATATACAGTCATGTAATTTATGTGGGGTTAGACTCAGAACATCCAACCACGAGACCCATATGCTTTTTTTGAAGGACAAACATGTAATTATCTTAGATATTGATCATTGCTATGTTGAATGCAAGATGATGTACACAATTTTAACATTCTACAGAAAGGAGAAGAAAATAGAAAACTGAGGCACCCAACAAGGACATAACCTGATATGATGATGTCGGGCTTTGGAAAATTTTTCCCAAAATTCAAATCAATTTTATTGAGGTCTCCTTGTACAAATGTGGCATTATTGATGTTGTTCATCTTGGCATTACGACAAGCATCTGAGATAGCCTGAGGAACTACTTCATAGCCATAAACATGTCTGGCCCTGACAAAAGCAAACCAATGGAAGCAGATCCAAACAGGACCATCATGTAAGATTTGTAAAATCACACATTTCAAATTATAAGAAAAACATGAGAATTACTTTCTGGCTAGTGTCAAGCCAATGGTGCCCGTTCCACAAAAAAGGTCAAGGACAATTTCTGAGCCGTCTCCTTTGAGATCCGCATAATCTTCAATGAGTCCATAAAGAACCTCCGCCTGAAAGTTGTAAAATGGAATAATGAAACTCAAGCAAGCAATCACTTTCCTGGGGGGAAAAAACATAGACTAACAGGAAATCCAAATCCTGGGATGTTGCATACCTGGTGTGAATTTGTCTGAAAGAAAGAATTGGCTGAAATTTGAAAAACAAGCCCTCTTAGGATCTCTGTGATGGTAGATTTACCATATAACGTGAACTCATCCTCACCAACAGATGTGTTACCGACAGAAGTATTTACGTTGTTCACAATGCTGACCTGTTGGTCGGCAGACATAAGAAACGAAAAATGATATTCCAAAATGAAGGTTTCACTAGTGACACTGACATCAACTGGAAAATGTGCACAGAAATGTCATACAGACCACTTCAGGTATGGCTGAAATTTTCTCAACAAGGGGATTCAGGAGCTCTGGTTTGTGGGACGAAGTCACAAAATTAACCATAAGTTGAAGAAGACCAGTATTGACATCCCTGAAAAATGAATAGTAATTGTGTTAGCTTCTGGTGATATTTGTGATCTGACTTTTTTAAAATTTTAAGTGAAATAATCCCTATAAGAAATATAAAGATTTGGGAACCAAATGAGCAGGAGAGTTACCTAAAGGATTAAAAAGCTTTGCATTGAGTTTTAGGTGTTTGCATTCATTGAGAGAAAAATGTACAAAAATTAAGGGCATGTCATCAGACTAGAAATGGCATTTGGAACTCTTTCTACAGTTCAATGCGGTCAACTTTCCTGATTAAGGTATTTTTTAACTTGATTACATAATTAGATGTATTTTAAACTTTATTCCCGAACTAAAAGAATGTGTTAAGTGAACACGTTTTTTAGTGAAACAGCTTATAAACTTGTTTATCAATTCCAGCTAAACAACTTAAAAGCATATTTATCAAAAGGCGCTCCTTCCCAAGTTTGGGAATAAAGTTTAAAATACACCTGGTTATGTAATTAAGTTTTTAAAAAAATCATAATTAGGGAAATGAGCCAGTTCGAGATATATCTCGTCTTCATATTTGAAAATCACCATCTCTGAGAAATTCAGTACCCTGGAAACAAAAATTGAAATATCCCTCAACGAAATTAAGGCAATGAAGCAGCTAAATGGAATACATGACTTAATACACAAATCAAAATAATTGAAAGACGTCGCCTGCAGGGGAGTGAAATGAGAGGGAATTTACACCTCATAAAGGAAATATCACTGAAGCTCTAGGAGGCAAACACACTCGATGTGAGGAGTGTGAGGGAACATGTCTACTGGCTGTAGGCTTCTTAGTTTGTAACATCCCTCTATATTTTGCTCTGCCTGTAAAGTTTTTGATATCTCGGAATTACAGAGATTTAACCCACAGCTGAAAAAGACAAGCAACATAGAACTTACCACACCGTGACAGAGGTAATCGAGGTCCCGTGCACATGTTGCAGGATTACAGGACACATAAATAATCCGTGGGGCTCGAAGCTTTAGTAAATATTTAATTAACTTCATATGCATTCCTGGACGGTTTGGATCTGCAGGATGCATCCATCATGTCAGAAAATATCTGGAAAACCTAGTGCTTGTTTTCAAATACTTAAGTGAAGATCAGATAAGGAACAGCAGATTTCTCAGTTCAAACCTTAAATATACAGTCATGTAATTTATGTGGGGTTAGACTCAGAACATCCAACCACGAGACCCATATGCTTTTTTTGAAGGACAAACATGTAATTATCTTAGATATTGATCATTGCTATGTTGAATGCAAGATGATGTACACAATTTTAACATTCTACAGAAAGGAGAAGAAAATAGAAAACTGAGGCACCCAACAAGGACATAACCTGATATGATGATGTCGGGCTTTGGAAAATTTTTCCCAAAATTCAAATCAATTTTATTGAGGTCTCCTTGTACAAATGTGGCATTATTGATGTTGTTCATCTTGGCATTACGACAAGCATCTGAGATAGCCTGAGGAACTACTTCATAGCCATAAACATGTCTGGCCCTGACAAAAGCAAACCAATGGAAGCAGATCCAAACAGGACCATCATGTAAGATTTGTAAAATCACACATTTCAAATTATAAGAAAAACATGAGAATTACTTTCTGGCTAGTGTCAAGCCAATGGTGCCCGTTCCACAAAAAAGGTCAAGGACAATTTCTGAGCCGTCTCCTTTGAGATCCGCATAATCTTCAATGAGTCCATAAAGAACCTCCGCCTGAAAGTTGTAAAATGGAATAATGAAACTCAAGCAAGCAATCACTTTCCTGGGGGGAAAAAACATAGACTAACAGGAAATCCAAATCCTGGGATGTTGCATACCTGGTGTGAATTTGTCTGAAAGAAAGAATTGGCTGAAATTTGAAAAACAAGCCCTCTTAGGATCTCTGTGATGGTAGATTTACCATATAACGTGAACTCATCCTCACCAACAGATGTGTTACCGACAGAAGTATTTACGTTGTTCACAATGCTGACCTGTTGGTCGGCAGACATAAGAAACGAAAAATGATATTCCAAAATGAAGGTTTCACTAGTGACACTGACATCAACTGGAAAATGTGCACAGAAATGTCATACAGACCACTTCAGGTATGGCTGAAATTTTCTCAACAAGGGGATTCAGGAGCTCTGGTTTGTGGGACGAAGTCACAAAATTAACCATAAGTTGAAGAAGACCAGTATTGACATCCCTGAAAAATGAATAGTAATTGTGTTAGCTTCTGGTGATATTTGTGATCTGACTTTTTTAAAATTTTAAGTGAAATAATCCCTATAAGAAATATAAAGATTTGGGAACCAAATGAGCAGGAGAGTTACCTAAAGGATTAAAAAGCTTTGCATTGAGTTTTAGGTGTTTGCATTCATTGAGAGAAAAATGTACAAAAATTAAGGGCATGTCATCAGACTAGAAATGGCATTTGGAACTCTTTCTACAGTTCAATGCGGTCAACTTTCCTGATTAAGGTATTTTTTAACTTGATTACATAATTAGATGTATTTTAAACTTTATTCCCGAACTAAAAGAATGTGTTAAGTGAACACGTTTTTTAGTGAAACAGCTTATAAACTTGTTTATCAATTCCAGCTAAACAACTTAAAAGCATATTTATCAAAAGGCGCTCCTTCCCAAGTTTGGGAATAAAGTTTAAAATACACCTGGTTATGTAATTAAGTTTTTAAAAAAATCATAATTAGGGAAATGAGCCAGTTCGAGATATATCTCGTCTTCATATTTGAAAATCACCATCTCTGAGAAATTCAGTACCCTGGAAACAAAAATTGAAATATCCCTCAACGAAATTAAGGCAACGAAGCAGCTAAATGGAATACATGACTTAATGCACAAATCAAAATAATTGAAAGACGTTGCCTGCAGGGGAGTGAAATGAGAGAGAATTTACACCTCATAAAGGAAATATCACTGAAGCTCTAGGAGGCAAACACACTCGATGTGAGGAGTGTGAGGGAACATGTCTACTGGCTGTAGGCTTCTTAGTTTGTAACATCCCTCTATATTTTGCTCTGCCTGTAAAGTTTTTGATATCTCGGAATTACAGAGATTTAACCCACAGCTGAAAAAGACAAGCAACATAGAACTTACCACACCGTGACAGAGGTAATCGAGGTCCCGTGCACATGTTGCAGGATTACAGGACACATAAATAATCCGTGGGGCTCGAAGCTTTAGTAAATATTTAATTAACTTCATATGCATTCCTGGACGGTTTGGATCTGCAGGATGCATCCATCATGTCAGAAAATATCTGGAAAACCTAGTGCTTGTTTTCAAATACTTAAGTGAAGATCAGATAAGGAACAGCAGATTTCTCAGTTCAAACCTTAAATATACAGTCATGTAATTTATGTGGGGTTAGACTCAGAACATCCAACCACGAGACCCATATGCTTTTTTTGAAGGACAAACATGTAATTATCTTAGATATTGATCATTGCTATGTTGAATGCAAGATGATGTACACAATTTTAACATTCTACAGAAAGGAGAAGAAAATAGAAAACTGAGGCTCCCAACAAGGACATAACCTGATATGATGATGTCGGGCTTTGGAAAATTTTTCCCAAAATTCAAATCAATTTTATTGAGGTCTCCTTGTACAAATGTGGCATTATTGATGTTGTTCATCTTGGCATTACGACAAGCATCTGAGATAGCCTGAGGAACTACTTCATAGCCATAAACATGTCTGGCCCTGACAAAAGCAAACCAATGGAAGCAGATCCAAACAGGACCATCATGTAAGATTTGTAAAATCACACATTTCAAATTATAAGAAAAACATGAGAATTACTTTCTGGCTAGTGTCAAGCCAATGGTGCCCGTTCCACAAAAAAGGTCAAGGACAATTTCTGAGCCGTCTCCTTTGAGATCCGCATAATCTTCAATGAGTCCATAAAGAACCTCCGCCTGAAAGTTGTAAAATGGAATAATGAAACTCAAGCAAGCAATCACTTTCCTGGGGGGAAAAACATAGACTAACAGGAAATCCAAATCCTGGGATGTTGCATACCTGGTGTGAATTTGTCTGAAAGAAAGAATTGGCTGAAATTTGAAAAACAAGCCCTCTTAGGATCTCTGTGATGGTAGATTTACCATATAACGTGAACTCATCCTCACCAACAGATGTGTTACCGACAGAAGTATTTACGTTGTTCACAATGCTCACCTGTTGGTCGGCAGACATAAGAAACGAAAAATGATATTCCAAAATGAAGGTTTCACTAGTGACACTGACATCAACTGGAAAATGTGCACAGAAATGTCATACAGACCACTTCAGGTATGGCTGAAATTTTCTCAACAAGGGGATTCAGGAGCTCTGGTTTGTGGGACGAAGTCACAAAATTAACCATAAGTTGAAGAACACCAGTATTGACATCCCTGAAAAATGAATAGTAATTGTGTTAGCTTCTGGTGATATTTGTGATCTGACTTTTTTAAAATTTTAAGTGAAATAATCCCTATAAGAAATATAAAGATTTGGGAACCAAATGAGCAGGAGAGTTACCTAAAGGATTAAAAAGCTTTGCATTGAGTTTTAGGTGTTTGCATTCATTGAGAGAAAAATGTACAAAAATTAAGGGCATTTCATTCGATATTTCAAGCTGTAAGAAGCAGTAACGGAAGGTATAAACATTTCTCATTCTTATTGGTCAGATGTTGAAGAATATCTACTTACAATACCATCCAGAAAATGCAACCCTCATCAAGCATATACAGCTACATATATATTTCACATATTTTTAACCAGGATAACAAAGAAAAAAATTAACTAATATATTTGCCTCGTTTATTTTTTCTCTTTCTCTTCTGTCAACTCTGTCCCAATGATCAGACAACATAAATTTCACTACTGAGTTGTAAAACTGGTCAGGGGTTTTTGGAGCTATGCATGCTCTTTTGCAAACAAGTGTCTTCTGTGTGCAAGTAAGGAAATAAAAAAAGTATGGCATGCTTAAATGTTTGAAGTTTAACCAATTATGATGATAGATAAATGATAGAACTCAGTATACCTGCCTGTTCTCAGCATTAGATGCTTAAGATACCCAGCATGGGAATGTACATTATACGGAGAAAGGCCTAATTTTGGATCTCTCCAACAATCTTGAATAGCTTTGAGAACCTATAAACAAAAATGCATATCAAGTGACAAGAAAGAGTAAATTCTACAAGAGTCTGAAGTCAGTATAATGGACATGATCAACAAAGCTGTGCTCATTATTTTAGTACAAGTACGACCAATTCACAAAACTGTTTGATAAAATGTAGATCCCAATCCAAACAACACACCAAGGAAAATAGAAAATCTCCTTAAATCTGTAAAACCAATCAGGCAACATATAGTGCAAATGAAAGTTTCTATCTAATTCTTTTTATATTGATGATAAGGCAGCATCTAGTGCAAATGAAATAAGATGGATGTTATCAATATTTTGGTACAGCATCTACAATTATTCAGATGGTAATAGGAAGGATAAATGCACATAAGCCTTCACCCCTAGTATGGCAAAAATCGCATAACTTGGTCATGGCATGGGAAAGCCTCATCTTCCATGTTTATGTAGCCTTCCATTGAAGCTACTCGAGAATTTACTTAAAATTTCAATAAAACTATGGTCACCCAACAATTTAACATTGTCATGACAAACTTTTTCTTCTTGTTTCTAAAACCATGAAAAGAATACCAAGTCTGGAGCACAGGGCATTAACATGTGTATAATATGTGCACGTTAGCTAAAGTGAAGCAATGACTTTAGCCATGGATTTCAGTTATCTACAGAAAACAGCCTGTGGCTAGGCATTATCCATAAAATTACAACATTTAAAATGTAAATCCACAAGCATCCCTATAGTTTTCGCCAAAACAATTGACTGGCATGCAACAAAGAACGCCCATAATTAAATCTAGCAAATGCAACATATGGGAGTCCCAATTTATTTGGTTTTATCTAAACATATATTTAATTTACTCATCAGAGACAACAGATTATAGTATCTGATAAGAGGTTTCTATGAAAGAAATCATGCAATATTTTAACAATATGAACATGAAAAAGATATCACACACCTCATTGGCAGGCTCACTTTGTAATAAGCATTTGTTGACATTAAGAACCTTATCAAAAAAGCCAGGAGCATGCAGTCCCAATGCATAGTCAGCGGCATCACTTTGTTCACTTTGTTCACTTTGTTTATCCTGTAACAAGTCTCTAGGTACCCATGTCTGATTACTGAATGAAAATTCCATCTGCAGAGGAAAGAAAAGTAGGCAGAGATATTTTACAGTTTTTTTAACTATATTATCTAATCTCTTCTTGGATATAAGTTGATAAAAAGGTCAATGAAAGTGAACTGTGGGAAATGCAAAATGATTTCCATAACTCTTACAATTAAACTTATTACCGAAAAACGCAGTTATGTTTTATCTTCTTCTAGTGATGATTAACGTAGTGTATGATTTTTCCATCATGCCTCTAAAGAAAATGCAATGAAGTTCTCTTAATACACTGATTAATTCGTATTGCATCATTAATTTTAGAACATACTCTTCACAAAATTTCAAAATTTAGGCAATCTATTCATTTTTTAAATTTAAAATCAATCAATAAATAAAATAAAGCCCAACAAAGGTGACTTCAATACTTGCCTTGTTCCTATAATGAAATTGAATGTCACAGGGAATAATGGGCTTCATGATGTTAAAAGATTCCAGGTCTTTATCAGAAAACTTCCCCACATGTATGACCAACTCTCGGACTACTTGTTCTTTAGCTCTGATCTGCGCCTCATACAGTAGATTCTGTGTTTTACAACCTCCACAATGTAAAGCATGTTCACATGGAGCTTCCACAAAGTCCCAGTGCGGGGATATTGTCTTTAATTTAGTCGCCTGCACTTCTCACAAATTAATTCAAGACCATAAGCAATCAGAAACTGGGTTATATATATAAATTAGCCATACAATGAAAAATTACTAACCAACAAAAACATATAAGGAAAATCACTTACAAAAATTAAAATTGACTTGGCAAGCTATGATATTTCCTCTTGTTTGCTAAGTTACTATACAAGGGAAATGGGGAAAATTGACACAGTAGAGCCAGGAGTAATAGGCATAATCCTTGCACCATCTAGAAAAGTGCCTAACTTCTGAAGTAAGTAGCACGGGTTTCCCATTAATGTGACAGAATTATGATATTTAAATTTAATTTTCCGAAGCCATGTCTTTTTTTACAAGGTTATAACTTAGAAAGTTAGGTATGCCAACATGTTTGTAGGTAAATACAATTAAGAAGGGGACAATCTCAACAGCCTAGCTAGTATGAATTTACTTTTTGACGATGCAACTTAAGCAAATTATTGTTGGAATGAAATCCTTGACCTCCAAATAGTAGCGAAACACAATTAGCCTTGGGTAACGTGGTGGTTAAAATTAAGGTTGTCAAGGCATTGAGGAACACTAAGATGTCCTATAATGTAACAGATTATATGATCCTAAATACAGCCAGAGAGAGAGAGAAAGAGAAAGATAGAAAGAAGCTTATGTAGCTGCCAAAAAATGGTTGGAATTGAAGGCATTGTTGTTGAGTTGATAGTATCATCATATGGTAATGGAATATAACCGCTTCAAAATTATATCCAATTGGACTTGGCTACCTATATGAAAGTAACCAAGCCTTGTGTCCCAATCAAATGGAGTCAGACATATGAATCATTTCTCTCCATTCAACTCTATTGAGGGCTACATGCTCAGTAAAATTAAATAAATTCATATCTTTTTTCGGTACTGCATCCCATCTCAACGTCAGTCTTCCTCTCCACCTAGCATCTCCTCTTGTGATGATCCTATCACCCATCTTTATCGTTGCATCTATATGTCATCCTTATACATGAACATATAATGCATTCCTCATGTTTGGTCACTAAGCTCCATAAATTGTTTTTGATTACTTTGAAAAATTAATATTAAAAACTATGACAAACACAAGAGAGCTCATGCATTGACTTCAATTTTATTTATTTAATACTATATCATGATGAAGAGCTAGAAAGACAGCTTTTAATTTTGTAAGCCTGAAATGAAAGAATAAATTGAGTATAATGCAACTTAGTCATCACTTTCTTCCCATTTTCTGAACAACCAAACAAAACAACAACACTAAATCTTCACTCATAAAATTCCAATACAACACAGGAGTAAAAAAAAAAAGCATTGAATTGAACCTCAGCGTAATTGTCTTTCTTGCGAGTGATGCGGGCGACGAGGCGTTCGCCAGGAAGAGCACGGTCGCACATAACGACGAAACCAGAGTTGGCCACTTTACAAACTCCTTTTCCTTTGAAAGCAAGGCTTTCGCATACCAGCTCCAAACTCTGTCCTCTCTTCGGAAAATACGATTCAATCTTCTTCTTCATCTTCTTGTTATCATCATTAGGTTTTGTGGTGAATTGAGTATCTTCTGAATCTTCAATTGAAGAAGAAGAGGGAGATGAAGAGAGAGAAGGTACTGAAGAGAGAGAATATGATGATGATGATGATGATGGGGTTTTGCGGAGGGTTTGAAGCCATTGATGAGAGTTCAAGCGGCGGAGGCTGTGGCTGGGCAGGACTGCCATGGTGTGCGGCCGCTGCGAAAAATTCGCGGTGAAGATCAAGGGGTTATGTTAGTTGCGGATAGAGGGTATCTTCGGAGTTACGAGAATTAGTAGAGGTTAGCTTCGTAACTAGGACTTTTTGGGCTTCTTTGGTCAGGTAGATTGTACTAAGCAAATTTTATTTCCACACACCAAGTTTATTTATTTTATATATTTAATAATTTTTTTAAAAATTATAATTTTATTCTTTAATGAAGTTACCATTCATCTACCACCATTTCACCCACACATTTTATAATTTTTCCATACACATCTTACCCATCACCATCTCACCAGCCACTTCACCGCCGACCATCACCAAATCTCAACCATACACAACATTTCCTTTCACTTTTCCCACTCCTTTCAGTCTCTAACATTCTCATTTCGTCTTTTTTCTTTCTCTGTAGATCGCTGGAGAAATTGCGACCGTTTGAACAACCAATACCGAACAGATTGTCGCCGTTCGGATATCAATTGCCACACCAATTGAGTATGTACAAATATCAACTATCGAATCTATAGGGTTTGTTCGAGTATCAACCATCGGATCTCTCTCTGTCTCTTTTTCTTTCTTTGTTAATCGATCAGTCGCGGTAAAGGAGAGAGGTTGTGTCGCGATGGAGGGAGTGGAGAGGACTGGGGAAGAGGTGGGGAGGTGGATCGCAAAGGTGACGGCGATCGGTAATGATTGCGATGGAGATGACAACGACCGGCGATAATCGCGATGGAGGTGACGGTAACGTAAGAGGCTGTGTGAGAATGGTAAAGAGGCTGGAAAGGGGCGGTGGTTGATATTGTCGTTGCCGCCATCGCCGGTAGTTGGTGTAGTTAGGGTTAAGGTTTTTGGAGTGAGAAAGAATGGAAGGAGAAGATGTGCACAGAGAAGGTGAAGGTATATTTTGAATATGAAGTGTGTAGGCGGAGATAAAAAAGTAAAAATCAAATTACTAAAGATTGAGAAAAGATGTACACAGAGATAATTTGGTGTGTTGTCACGCCCCAAAAAATTGGACAATTAAATATTAAATTATGACTAAACCCTAATCAATATTCCATCATCCAAATCCTAGGGGTGAAACAAAAAAAAAAAAAAAAAAAAAACTAAACGCCAACCAAAGCATCAATCATAATTTCATAACTAACCAATACCTCAAACATTAAAGTAACAATAAATAGTCAAAATAACTTAAATAATGTATAATTACAAACCATGTCAAATTATCCCAATACTAAAGTCATAAAAAAAAATAATAAATACATAATTTAATATTAACCCTAAACTCAAGAAAAACAAAAAAAATCCAAGAGACATGTCTTACGATCATGGTTATTTCTTGCCGCCATCATAGTCCCAACTAATCTTGCAAAGGAAGCTCGGCTGTGCTCAAACAGAACGCACCCGAGTAGGAATGGCAACGGAGCGGGGCGGGGCCGGGGATCACACTCCCCGTCCTCTATCCCCAACGGTTAAAGTCCCCCCGTCCCCGGCCCCGATCCCCAACGGGGACCCTAAATCCACCCCATCCCCGCCCCCTATCGGGGATCGGGCTTCCCCGACCCCAAAAATTCCCCGAACAAAAAAAAAAAATTAGATCCAACCCCTTAACAGATCTGATGAGCTCAAATGTAATAGTAAAAAAAAAAATTAGATCTAACAGATCTGTTCTTCATCATCATCAACAACAACATAGAAAGAAAGACAGATCTGAATGTGATGCTCAAATTATTTCGAAAGATATACCAGATATGCTCAAATAATAACAACATTGAGTCAAATATAATATATATGCATATATATATAACAAATCGAAAGAGAGAAAGAGAGAGTGAGAGAGAGAGAATATTCCAGATCTGGTCGGTGATGGTGGCTGTGATTCGGCAAGCTTGGCCTCTACCGTTGGAGAAGAAAAAGAGACGGTGGAGTTATGGGAGGATGGAGTTCGGCGGTGGAAGAGACGGTAGAGTTGTGGGAGGATGGAGATCGGCGGTGGGAGGAGAGAGATCGGCGGTGGGAGATGGAGATCGGCCGACGGTTTTAAAGAGAAGGAGAGAGAGAGACAGATGAGAGGCAGACAGATGAGTATGAGTGAGTGAGGCTTCTGTGTGAGTGAAGGGTTGATTTATATTATATAAATATAATATATATATATATATAGAGGGTTGATTTATATATATGTATAGAGGGGCAAAATGGTAATTTTGCTTCAGGGAAAATTCGGGGCCGGGAACGAGGACGGGTCGGGGCTTGAACACTGATCACCGTCCCCGGCCCGAAACTGATCGAGGTTTTAATTTTGAATACCATCCCCATCTCCACGGGGGTATTTTTTGGGGAAAAACCATTCTCATCGGGGTCGGGGGATCAGGTCCCCGTCGGGCCATGTATAAATTGCCATCCCTACACCCGAGTTGCCAAAAGACAAAACGGGTCAGTATACAGGTATACTGGTATGAGTACAAGATTTAACACGCACGTGTCTACCAGACACAAACAAAAATACATTTAATTCTTATTACGGGACAAGACAAGCAGTTTCATTCGCACTGAGACGAATGGGTAGTTTCTCGAGATACGATGGCATTTAATTTCTTGCACGTACACAACGAAATATAAATTGAGTATAAAATAAACAAAATAAAAATAAAAATATGGTGGGTCAGCCCTGCATAAAAAGTTAGTAAGACCCACTATCCTACAAAAAAATAAAGTTAGTATAATTTAATCATAAGTAACTTGCTAAAAAAGTATAAAAATGCACTGTTTTATACTTAAATAATTCAAATTGACCAAAACTCAAAGAACAAAAGTTGTAAAGAATCAAATTTCCTAAAAGGTAACACCGACGAATTTAGTAGAAACTGAACAGGTTAAGAGAAAAACTTAATATAAAATCCTCACCAAAATTCAATCGAAAAATTTGGAACTGAAAACGAAAAGAAATTGCTATAAGATGAATTTTGTTGAAAAAGTTCAAAACACAAAAAGTGTTTAGAGTAATGTTTTACTTCATTCTGTGCAAAACCAATAATAATGAGCCCGTTTCGTAGGTTAAAACAGCCTCTAAAATCTGTATTGCTAAAATGAATCAAAATTACAATATCTAAGATCATCCGATTATTAGTTCTAATCGATTTTTTTAATAAAAAATTGAAACACAAAAGTTGTTTAGACTCATGTACATCTGCGTCTGCTCAAATTTCATAATTTATTGAGGTCGTTTGACATTTTTCAAAATGTACAAATCAATACAATTCACACGATAACAATGAACTCATAATTAAATTCTTTGTACCTTAACTCCACCACTTCAACCTCCACTTCCGCCCTACACATATATCCCATGTGCCTTCCATATACATAACACCGCTCTGAAGCCAAACTTGCACGGGAATATCGTCCCGAGTTTGACCTACACTCCCCGGATGGTAAGCATATACGTACGTGCGTAAATCAAAGTACTCGTCTACTCATGAAAACGAGACAACAATATATATATACAAAGCATCTCACTCATGAGAACGAACATAACAATGTCAAACCTAAGGCATTTAAATAAATCTCATAATCCTCACTTTTTTCTTATACCTACTCTTTCTCACCATCACTCAAATAAAACAACAATCCATGGAGTCATGGTGGAGCGTAAGGAATTTATCTATGGGTTCCTAATTTATTTTAATTTCATAAAACCATGAGTGTAATTACAACCATAAAATCAATCCATATAAAAACCATAAACCTTGCATATACAACTAATCAAAATAATTAAAATCAATCAATCTTCTAAAAATCCTAAACTTTACATACATAACTAAACAAGATAATTAAAATCAATCAATTATCTAAAAATCCTAAACCTTACATATACAAGTAATCAAAATAATTAAAATCGATCAAATCATCTACATGCAAATATGAAGTCAATTCAACATAAAAAAAATAAAAATAAATAAATAAAAACAACGAATTAAATATAAATCAAGAGAAGTGGGTTTTATACTAATAATTTTTTTTTCAAGATCAAAAAAATATTTAAAGAATTAATAGAATCACCAAAACAAAACCCTAACTCTAATCCTTTTTTTTTTCTCTTTTCCTCCTCTTTCCCCACACACTGCCGCAGACCCTCTCTTTTTCTTGATTTCTCTCTCTCTCTCTCTCTCTCTCTCGGCATGCCGCCACACACAGCAATACTCTTTTCTTTTCTTCGATTCCCTAATCCCTATTTTAACCTAATAAACTATTATAACATATTATATTATATAATACAACATAATTATAATATATATAAATATAAATATAAATTTAAATATATATATATATATATTACACCTCTTTTTTTATATAAAAAATATAAATATATAAATATTTGGATTAATTATATATAATTAAATAATACATTTGTTGGACCATTTTAATATCTTATATTTATTTATTGGTTTATCTTTTTCATAAATGGGGTTTTATTACTTTGGTAACCTCTTGGTCATAAATGGAGGTTAAATAGAATTCATAAACCTGGTTAATGGTCATTATTTTGGTGTAACCATTTTCTTGTTTAATGGTCATTATTTTGGTGTAACCATTTTCTTGTTTAATGGTCATTATTTTTGGTGTAACTGTAAGGTCCTTATAGCCTATATATATAGTCTACTCTTTTCTATCTATAGAGATAAGCTATTTTCTATACAAGAGAGATTACTAGCAAAGAAGGGTGTTTTATTGGTGGAGCTTTGGGTTCACCATCTTGTGCAGAGTTGGCCTGAACCATACGACAAGTGGTCGGGCTGTTGTATCCTGGAGGGGACAAGTCATAGTATTGTGACTGCTGCATCGGTATTTGGATTCTTCCTACCGCAGTGGGCTTGATCTCCTTAAAATTGTTGGAGAAAATACCAGAAACTAAACAATATTATTGATAAATGATGCAAAGAAAACGAGATATCCGTGCCTCAGCCTGATCTATTTGTATCTCATTTTCTTTGCATCATTTATCAATAATATTGTTTAGTTTCTGGTATTTTCTCCAATAATATTAATTAATTAAATATCACATTAAATTGTCATGTAACCACGTAA